GAATAGATTTTAACAAACTTTGACATTTCATAATAAAAACACAAAACAAAAATTAGGAATAGGGTCTCCATGTTGGCCTGGGGTTAAGTCAGCTCTGTCACCAAAAGGGCCTAAGTTTGATCCCCAGCCAGGAAGCTAACCTACAGATGGCGCAGCAGACTTCCCCTGTCTCGTCCACTGTTCCCCTTAGCAGTGTATTTCAGTGAATCTGTTTTGCTCCCCACTCTGTCTCTGATGAATCTTCTCCCCCCACCCATATCTCTGGTCTCCACCCCAGTTCTATGCATATATAAATCTTTTTTTAAAAATTAGGAATAGAGGGAAACTACAACATAATATAAGCCACAAGTAAAGGAAAAAAAAACAGTAAACATGATACCCAATGGTAAAACACCAAATGCTTTTTCCTCTAAAATCAGGAGCAAAGCAAGTATTACCACTGTAACCACTTTAAAAAAAAAAAAAAAAAAAAAGATTTATCTTTATTTATTAATACAAGCACTGGGTACAGTCAGAAGCGCGGGAGGGTGAGAGAATTCACCAGAGCCAGAGCAGGGAGCAGAGCAGGCAGAAGGACCGAAGTACACTGCTGAGGGGAGCAGCGGGTGGCAGGACAGGTTTGCGCACCATGCGGGACCCTCCTCCAGTGGCCAGGGAGCAGCCAGGGATCGAACCGGTGCTGCAGAGGCCGTGGGCAGCTTCGCAACCCAGCACTCAACCGCTGTGCCATCAGGGAGGCCCTGTAACCACTTTTATTCAAAAAGTACTGAAAGTTCTAACCAGAGCATTTAGGCAAGAAAAAGAAAGAAAAGTCATGTAAATTGAAAAGCAGTAAGTAAAACTGCTTTTCTGTTTCAGATGATCTTTTTTGTCAAAAACCCTAACGACTCCACCAAAAAGTTCTTAAAACTAATTCATGAATTCAACAAAGTAACAATACGAGGTCACCAAGCAAAAATCAGTTGTATTTCTCTACACAGATAAAGAAGAAATTGTAAAAAAAAAAAAAAAAAAAACAATTTACAATATTTACAAAATGCAGGGCCTCCCTGGTGGTACAGGGAGTTAATGATGCACCCTATGAAGCTATCTTCAGCCACTGAAGCACGAGTTAGATCCCCAGCCAGGGAGATACCCACATGGCACAGCAGACCTCTCCTGTCTCACCAGCTGCTCCCCTCAGTAATATATTTCAGTCAGTTTGCCTGTCTGTTCCCCACTCTGTCTCTGGTGATCCTCTCACCCCCAACACCTCTGGCCTGTGCCCCAGATCTTGTATGCATAAAGAATAAAAATAAAATGCATAGTAATTAACCAAGGTGGTCAAAGACTTTACAATAAAAACTACAAAACATTACTGCAAGAAGTTAAAGGAGACATAAATGGAAATTCACCTCATGTTCATGAATTAAAATATTTAATATTAAAATGTCAGTAGTGATCTACAAATTCAATGTGATCTGTATAAAATACAGATCTACAAATTCAATGTGATCTGATTTCTAAATCCATTACAAAGCTACAGTAATCAAAATTGTGTGGTACTGACATAAAGATAGACATATAGTTCAGTGGAAAAGATCAGAAAGCCCAGAAACAAGCCTTCATGTATAGGTCAGATATTTGTTGATTAGGATATAAAAAATGGGGAAAGGACTGCAATTTCAACAAATGATGCTGAGAAAATTGGATATCCATGGATTCATACGAACACCATGCACAAAATTCAACTCAAAAAAGATCAAGGGCCTTACTGTAAGATCTATAACAATGAAATTCTTAGAAATCATATGACAAAAGCTTCATGGCATTAGATTTGGCAATGATTTCTTGGATATGAACCATAAATGCACAGATAACAAAAGAAAAAAAATAGTGGATTTCATGAAAGTTTTAAATTTTGTGTATCAAAAGACACTTGAGGACCTCCCTCGTGGCGCAGGTGGTTGAGCGCAGCGCTGCGAAGCTGTCCGCAGCCTCTGCAGCACAGGTTCAATCCCGGCCAGCCGGCGAGAATCCCACATGGCGAGCAGACCTCTCCTGTCTGGCCCACTGCTCCCCTCAGCAGTGTGTTTTGTCAGTCTGCCTGTTCTGTTCCCCACTCTGTCTCTGGTGAATCCTCTCACCCTCCCGTGAATCTGGCCTGTACCCTGGTTCTTGTATAAATAAATTAATTAATTTTTAAAAATTACAAAAAAAGAGACTTGAAAAAGACACAGAATGAAATATTTGCAATACATATAGGAATTTAATATTCATAATATTCATAATCAAACTATATAGAACTTCGAAAAGTCAGCAAGAAAACTCAGTACAAATATGGGCAAATGGCTTTAGACATTTCTCCAAAAAAAAGCTATATCAAGGATAGGAAGGAAACATTGTTTAAAAATGAACAGTAATGGGGCCTCCCTGGTGGCGCAAGGTGTTTAGTCACTACCTATGAAGCTGTCCTCAGCCTCTGCAGCACCAGTTCAATCCTCCTGGCCAGCCACGGAGCAATCCACATGGTGCAGCAGATCTCTCCTGACTTGCTCACTGCTCCCCTCAGCAGTGTACTTCGGTCAGTCTGCCTGTTCTGTTCCCCATTCTGTCTCTGAATCCTCTCACCCCCCCCCCACAAACACCTCTGGCCTGTACCCCAGCTTTTGTATGAGTAAATAAATAAATCTTTAAAAAAATAAAGTGAACAATGATGTAAAAATATTAAAAAATTAAAAATTAAAAAAAAATAGATACATGAATGGCCAAGAGGCACATCAAATGACAGTCAGCTTCATAGAACATCAGGGAAATGCAAATCTAAACTAATGAGGTATCACTTCATACCCATTTAGTATCACTACTATAAAAACAAAAAAATCACAACTGTTGATGAAGATACAGAGAAATTGGAATCCCTTGCACTGTTGGTGGAAATTTAAAATGGTACAGCCACTATGGAAAAGTTTGGTGGTTGCTCAAAAAATTAAAAATAGAATTACCATTAACCCAGCAGTTCTAGTTCTGTGTGTATATACTCAAAAGAATTAAAAGCAGGATCTCAACAAGACATTTATGCACCCATGTTCATAGCATCATTAGTCACAACTAAAATGTGGAGGCAACCAAAGTGTCCTTTGATGGATGAATATCTGGATAAGCAAATTGTGTGTATTTGTACATACATACACATTCAATGGAATATTCAACCTTAAAAGGAAGGAGGTTCTGTAATATGCTACATTATAATACAATGTATATTTAAGCATCTTGGAACCTTGAGGCATGTTAAATGAAATAAACTAGTCACAGAAAGATAAATACTGTATGATTTCACTTATATATAGTGCTTAGTGTCGTCAAAATCATGGGAATAAAAGTATAATGGTGATTTCCAGGGAATGGGAAGTTATTAGTAGGTATACTGTTTCACGTTTTACAAGATGAAAATAGCTCTGGAGATGGATGTTGGTGGTAGTTGTACAACAGTGTTGAGTGTATTTAATACCACTGAGCTGTACACTTAATGATGGCAAGTTATATGTTATTTTTTTCTTTTATTTTAACATTTATCATTTTTTACATTTCTTTAGACAATATTTGTTTCCCCCCACCCCCTCAGACTGAGTCCCCATAGAATTTCCTTCCCCAAGGCACCCGTGCACCATCACCACAGCCCCCTGTGCTCCTCCCTCCCTCCCTCTCACCCCTCCTCCTCCTCCTCCCCTGCAGTATGTCTCTGGTTTATAATTGTCTGTTATTTTTTTTTTAAAGCTGGTAAAATGCCAATTTCAAATGTCAGTGTGAGCAAGACAGGTCACAAACTAAGATAAGATATTTGCAACCTATGAGTTGCAAAGAACATGTATCCAATAATTCTGTGTCCATCATAGAGAAACTCACACAGGTACACAAGAAATCCTTTGCAGAAAAGTTCATCACTGGACTCTGCAATTAAAAAACAAAAAGTGGAGACAAACTTACTAGCTCTCAGCAGAGAGATGTGGGAAATAAACTGAAATTAACTTATTAACTGGCATTCTAAAAGGGAGTTTAAATGAGTGTACTGATGAGTACACATGGTTAGATTTAAAAACCAATGTTTTCGGGCCTCCCGGTGGCGCAGCGGTTGAGCGCTGGGTTGCGAAGCTGCCTGCAGCCTCTGCAGCGCCGGTTCGATCCCCGGCTGCTCCCCGGCCACCGGAGGGACGGTGGCTCCCACATGGCGCGCAGACCTCTCCTGCCACCTGCTGCTCCCCTCAGCAGTGTACTTCGGTCCTTCTGCCTGCTCTGCTCCCCGCTCTGGCTCTGGTGAATTCCCTCACCCTCCCGCGCTTCTGACTGTACCCAGTGCTTGTATAAATAAATGGATAAATCTTTAAAAAAAATAAAAATAAAAATAAAAAAAATAAAAACCAATGTTTTCAAAACAAGCATGGTCCAAAATTTCTGTTCTGTATGCATATGAAAAATTTAACCTTGCTGGTGTCTGTTACATTTCTTTCACTTTCTGTATGTTTAAAACATCATAATTAACGGCTAAAAGAAAAAAATAGGTCATTATATTCCGTCTATAGCTTGCTCAGCAGTGCCATTGCCCTGGTCAGGAGAAACTGTTGTGGACCACAGGTAGATCAAGTCCATAGCTCCTTACTCTTTAGTTTCAGAAAACCAGTACGTGCTCAGGTAAGTCATTTTGGTGGAGAAGAGGTACACATGCTGGGACCCGTGAATGTTCTCCAGTAGGCTGAAACAACTGTGGGAGCACTGTAGGATCCTTGCTCTTGGAATAGAGACAAAATATCTGAAAGTGTTTTTGTTCTGTGTTGCTGCCTGTAAGTCAACATTGCCTGTGACATTTCCTCCCATTTCACTGGCAGTCAGAAAATGAAGCATGCCAAAGCATTAGTTCAGGTTTAAAAGAATTTAAGTGGTTTCACTGAATTACTAAGTGAAACCCACTCTTGCCTTCTGCAACAGACTAGGAAAAGTTTACATAGCACCCTTGTTTCTTTCAGAACTTACAATACTTTATATGCACCAGAAATGCAAGCCAAAATGGCAGAACCCTTCACAAAGACCCTGGACATGCTTGAAGCGGAAAAATCTGCTATTTTAGGTAAGAAATCTAACCTTTTTTTTCCCTTGAGGTTCACCTTATCTTTAGTGGACTCCTTAGATAACATCACTGTGCCTGTGTCTCCTCCTCCTCACCTTGCATTACCTGGGCTACCTGCTTATTCAGAAATAGATGTATGGAGTTCTGCACGCTCCCTGGGAACAGTGCATGTGCTCATTCTCTTAGCATACAGAAAAGGTCTTCAGAGGCAGTTTCTCCTCCCTCTGCCCTCTTCACCCATGTTAACCCTTCTTTGAGTTTTAGCTACAGATGGGTAAGTAAGCCATGTTTTTTAACCTATAGGATAGATAGCGTATTTTCCTGCCTTTATATTTTGAAAGGTATCAAAACAATTAAATAGTTTCATTTGTAAAATATAATCAAAATTTACATAGGAATAAATTCTGAGCCATGTTTCCAGTTGTTAATTTGATTAGAATATTTTATTAACTCATTTTCCCAATAGCATATAACTGTGCACTCATAATTATGCTGTGATGAAGGAAAATGGCTGTGGGAGTGTTCTAAGTGGAGACCTAGTCTAGTCTCAGAGTAGCCAGAAGGTCGCCTCCCAGTGGAGAGACTTAAAGAATGAGTAAGAACTAATAACTTGGGGGCAAGAAGAGATGCTAAGCATTTTGGACAAACAGAACGGCAAGTACATGATTCTGAAACATGCAGAAAAGAGCTTGGTGTGTCCAGGAGATAGAGAAGAGTCATTCAGGTGACTGCAAGATAGGCAGTGATTAGAAATTAGAGCTAAACATTTCTAGAGTTGTCTAAACCTTGTTCCAACCATGAAGCTTCATGCTGGATCACATCACAGCCAACCAGTATTTCCAGCCATAATCTCTGCCTAGACCCGGCTACAATTGCCTTTCGATGGCTCATGTCTGTCCTGTCCTGAATAGTCCAGGGCCTTTTCCTTTGGCACCACTACACTCGTAGACACTAGTTAAAATAGAACTTCCAAAAAATGTCTTGCCATTAATATGAAAAGTTGGAGTTGCTGGAGCAGCACTCCCACTGCCTCTTTTCACCCACTCTCTCCCTCTACAGGGCAGCAGCTTCCTACCTGCCTGCCCGTGACCTGTTAAAGGCTGCCCGCTTGCAACCATGCAGGCCTCTCTTAGCAAACCTGTCCCTTCTGGGGCAGCTCTTCCTGCCCACTTGTGTCTATGCAAATGTCTTTTACTGTTTTATCCCTTCCTTAGTAAACCTGCCCTTTAAATATTTTTAAAAAAAAAAAGAACAAAAGAGTTGCTATAGAAATAGTATGTCTAACCAAAACATACTAGAATGGACAAATAATTCTCTCTGGCAGCTTCTAACCATGAGCATGACTTAAAACATGACTTAAAATATAAAATTGCCTCTGATTAAAAGTTTACATCTTTTATTTATTTTTTTTAAAGATTTATTTAATCATACAAGAGCTGTGGTACAGGCCAGAGATGCGAGGGGTGAGAGGATCCACCAGAGAGAGTGGGGAACAGAATAGGCAGACAGACTGAAATACACTGCTGAGGGGAGCAGCGGGCAAAATAGGAGAGGTCTGCCTTGCAATGTGGGTTTCTCCCTGGCCGGCCAGGGATCGAACTCATGCTGCAGAGGCTGCGGATTGCTTCATAATGCGGTGCTTAACCCCTGTGCCACCAGGGAAGCCCTAAAGTTTACATATTTTAAAGGCAATTGTTATACATAGGTGAGTTTCATTTTGATATGCTGTATGTCTTGTACTTCTGCATAAAATTTTCCTTAATGGGGAGCTGCATAATTTGAAAAGGGAGTGAGGGTATCCTAGTTCTTTATGGTGAGATCATTTTGATCTGTCATTGTATGTTCTGTTACAAAAGTCCTATAAGAGAAACCCTGGCAGAATCTGGAATACGCAGGTCTAGTCTGAAGTTCTGGCTACTTAAGTAGCTTTCATCTTTCTCTACCAAGATGGTTTGGGAAATCACCTTTAGGGGAGCTCTTAGCACATCCAGCCAGTAGAAGTCTTGCCAGCACTCCTCTTCCTCTCACCTCCCCAAACCACATCTGTCTGCTGTAAGGTGTTTGCAACGTGCAACTCCCATGCAGTGGAAAAGCATGTTCTTGACTTGTCTTTGTAGGATTACCTCAACCTCTCTTGGAACTGAATGACTATCCTGTCTACAAAACAGTCTTGGAAAGAATGCAGCGTTTCTTCTCCACCCTTTATGAAAACTGGTAAGGAACTAATGTTGCGTTTCCATATTCTTTTCCTGGACAAGCACTGTATAGGAATGTCCATGGGTTGAATTTTTATCTAGAATCGTAGTGTGCAGGTAAGTTGAGGCAAGAATTTGCCAGGAAATTCTAGTGCCAAATAAAAATGAAAGGCTGCTTACATGTATTTACTTTTTATTACTATCATAAGTGCCTCAGTTTTAGCCATGACTTGCTATTTTATGCCCAATTTGTCTGTTTCCAGTGCAGAAAATGATGAAACCAAAGTAAGAGATACACTATGTACACTGTAGTGGTAGGGATGCATTTTCTCACACCCCTCACTACTTGTTGCCTACTTTTCATGATACCCTAGGAGGTGGCAGGCCAGCTCTGGGTCATGTTTGTGGGATGGGAAGGTAACTGGCCCTTCTGTATGCTACTGTGCCCAGGGCATCAACCTCACTGACCCAGTGCTTTCGTCAACCAAGCTAATGAGATTCAGCATTATGAATTCATATTACTTGAAGGCTCCTGTTGATCTTGCCTTTAGAAAGATGCTAAATCTACTATTAAGCTTCCTTAAAAGGGAGCAGGATATTATCTTCACTTTTCATAAACGATTAAGTCCACATCCTGGAAATATATACTGATTAAGCTCAAAGTCTCTTCAGGAGTAAATACAGTTGCTTTTCTAGCTGAGAAGTCTTAGTGTGGACTAGAAATGAAATTCTTGGGGCAGTCAGGGCTGGCAATAACAGTTGTTGGATTTCTGATTGCCCATGAGTTTCCCTTACAGCTTCCATATCCTTGGGAAGGCAGGCCCTTCCATGCAGCAGGACTTCTACACCGTGGAGCACCTTGCTACCCAGCTCCTCAACTCGGCCTTTGTCAACTTGAACAATATTCCTGACTACAGGCTGAGACCCATGCTTCATATCCTTTCAGAAGTCCCTGGTAACACAAAGAGCCACAAGATTGAAGACAGGAACAGTTCAGCCTCCAGAGGCGGCAGAATTGAGCTGCATAGAACAGATGGAATTATTTATCTAAGTGTAAAATAATCACATTAAAAGGATAAAATTGAAGTAAACAATGCACAGGCAGTCCAGGGAATCCTGAAAGCTCTTTTTTCTTAGGGGTAAATTCTTACCATCCTACTTCTTGGAAATATAAAAGGTAAAACTTTTATTCCTTCCCTGTTTTCTGTCAGGTACTTCATATTTCACTTTCATTCAGACTTTTTTGTGCAGGTCCCTGATATAAATATATATATAATATAAAGAGAATGGTAAAGGAACGTTTACTACAAGGGAGTCTGCCTATTGTTTTTCCTTCCTTCTTTCAGGCAACCCAGTGTCCACCTTGTGCCAGCCTGGTAGAAAGAATAGTTAAACTAAAAATAATAATGGAATGGAGTATCCATGCAGCTTAGGATTTTCAGGAAGGAACTTGAGATTTTTGCCTATTAACAGAATGTTCTTGGCATACTGTACATCCCTTGGGGATTGACTCTACCTAACAGCACAACCTGCTGCCTAGTCTATCAGGTAAAAGGAGTGCTTTAGAATGAGAGGGGTATGTACTCATGTGCTAGAATTTCTTAACCTACTCTGTACGGGTCTTTGTGAAGCCTCTGGTGCTCTTCTGTCCCCCGGAGCACTATGAAGCCCTGGTATCTCCCATCCTTGGGCCTCTGTTCACCTACCTCCACATGGTAAGAGATGGGTCAGGAAAGGGTAGCAAATGAGGACTCTTAGGGCAGGCAGCCTCTCATGAAAAGTGTTACCTCCTTAGTCCTGCCAGATTGGCAGTGTAACCATCCTGCCCCAGCAGACTGCTCACTGCAGTGGATCAAGCCCCCTTCTCCCACTACCAAGAACTACACTGGTTCACTTGTTCATGAAGCACATAACAGTCTTAGACTCTGCTCCTAACCTTTTAACTGAGGAGAGGTAACAGGGGCAGTGCTTCCCAGGATGCTTTGTGTTTCTGATCTGAAATTAATCAGGGAAACCAGCTGGGTTGAGAATAAATGTGTCCAGAGAGACCCAGAAATTCTAAAATGTTGTCCATCCTTTCCATGCAGAGGGACATGTGATATGCTGCCCTCACGAATATGGAAGAGATTTTGGAAACCCTGTCTGCTTTGTTAACCTTGTGGGGTCCCCTGGGCTCTTTCATTTGTACCTGGAATCCTTGTCTAACCATAAAGTAGCCCTTAGATATTATCTGTTCTGGCTTTCTCTCCAATTCTAGCGCTTATTTTTGTTGTTGTTGTTTTCCCAGAGGCTTTCCCAAAAATGGCAAGTCATCAACCAGAGGAACCTGCTGTGGTAAGAAACATCTCTCGTTAGATGAATTGGCTGCCAGGTTTGGATGGGAGACGATAAAAGGGGGAATCTGCCACCCCAGGGCTAGATCAGCAGAGCGTTGTGGTCCTTTTCAGCCTAGATGGTGGATGACTTATTCCTATTAGCAGACTCAGATGAAACCTTCAGCTGTCCTAAGAGGATGCTGAGACATCCTTATCCACTTAGGATTTTGACCCAGTACCTTCCATCCAACTGGATGGGGTCACAAGTAATAATCTCTCTCAGTGGATCATTGCTGGGCATTCCCAGCATTTGTATAAAATGTAGACCAGAAGGAAGCGGCCAAGAGAAGGGCAGAAAAGGTCTGCTTGGAGTCACTGTTTTCTTTGTCATTTCCTGTTTACGCTGCTGTGGAACTTGACCTCCTGGTTTTCTGCAGTGGAGAAGATGAGACTGCAGATGAAAACCCAGAATCTCAAGAGATGCTAGAGGAACAACTGGTGAGGATGTTAACCCGAGAAGTCATGGACCTAATCAGTAAGTGACATGTGAAAACAAGTGGTCATAGAATTTTTCTGGAAAAAGAATGATCACTGACCCAACTCTAACTCCATTAAGCTAAATGGACACAAAAATTCATGTTTGCAGTAGTACAGGACTTTTTACGAATCGGGCAGGGTTGTAAGGATAGACTATGAGGAATAGCAGGAGTTTGCATTAACATTAGGAATAACTTTCTAGCTTTATCAAAATAGATTTGTGTTTAATTCTTGGACATGAAGGTGGTTAATTTTCTTTTTTTTTTCCCCAAGATTTATTTATGCATACAAGAACTGGGGCACAGGCCAGAGGTGTGGGGGGTGAGAGGATTCACCACAGACAGAGCGGGAAACAGACCAGGCAGATTGACTGAAATACACTGCTGAGGGGAACAGCGGGCAAGGCAGGAGAGGTCTGCTGTGCCATGTGGGTAGCTCCCTGGCCAGGGATCGAACTCGTGCTGCAGTGGCTGCGGATAGCTTCATAGGTTGCATCTTAACCCCTTGCACCACCAGGGGGGCCCCGAAGATGGTTAATTTTCAATTTTTTTTTTTAAGATTTATTTATTCATTTATACAAGTACTGGGTACAGTCAGAAGCGTGGGGGGGGGTGAGAGAATTTACCAGAGCCAGAGCAGGGAACAGAACAGGCAGATGATGAAGTACACTGCTGAGGGGAGCAGCGGGCATGGCAGGAGAGGTCGGCGTGCCATGTGGGACCCTCACCCGGCGGCCAGGGATTGAACCGGTGCTGCAGAAGCTATAGGTAGCTTCACAACCCAGCGCTCAACCGCTGCGCCACCAGGGAGGCCCTAATTTTCAATTTTTGATCATAACATTGTTTGAGATCAAAGTAGACCAAGGATGTATCAGGCATCCTCTTCTGGTCACTTTACTCTCAGAATATTCTATAATTTCCTTGTTGTTAATTGAACATGAAGAGGGACCAGAACAGTCTGGTAAAATGCCTCTTAATTGAAGAGACAATGCAAACTGATTTTGGGCTCTACCTTCCCAGAGATAGTTTGGGATCCACTGACCTAGGTGTCTGTTATCTGGTAGTAGTAAATCTGGTAACCCTGCTCTCTCCTTTTAGCTGTATGCTGTGTTTCAAAGAAAGGTGCTGACCATAATACTACCGCTCCCCCTGCAGATGGAGATGGTAAGTGAGCCTGTTGCGTTGCCCTCAGAGGTCTGTCCTTGGGCTTCTACGTATTATCCCTTCTGTAACCAGGACAATTTCCAATGGAGACTGTTTCCCTAGCAATATAGCATGGATGAGATTTTTTTCTTTTCCTTTTTTTAAAGATTTTATTTATTTATGCATACAAGAACTGGGGCACAGGCCAGAGGTGCGGGTGGGTGAGAGGGTTCACCAGAGACAGTGGGGAACAGAACAGGCAGATGTACTGAAATACACTGCTGAGGGGAGCAGTGGGCAAGCCAGGAGAGGTCTGCTGCACCATGTGGGTTGCTCCCTGGCTGGCCGGGGATCGAACTCATGCTGCAGAGGTTGTAGATTGCTTCATAGTGCTGTGCTTAACCCCTTGTGCCACCAGGGAGGCCCCGTGGATGAGATTTTTTTCATCTAGCTTTATCATACTGTGTTTTTGCCGAATTTCCCTTTGTATTTGCTATCTCTTCAAGCTACAGTGATTTTTTTTTTTTCCTGTGTACATGGCCCTCGTTTCGTTGAAGTCTCTGCTTAGATGTCACCTCCACTCCCTTCTCTACCCTATTTTTCTTCATAATGCCTACCGTGTATTCATTTATTGTGCTCCTCACTACACTGTAAAATCCCATCAGGAAAGGTACTTTGTCCTACGCCTGCTGTATCCCTAGTAACTAAATCAGTGGCCGCCACAATGGGTCCTCAAAGATCTACTTAATAATGGGAGATCCTTAGCATTTTTGACTCTAAGGCACTGTCCAGAAAATCCCTTCTTTCCCAGATGTACAGCTGGCTGTATCTCTAGAAGATCTGCTGTGGCCATGGGCTTCTACACCCTTTCATGGGGGCGGGCGAGGGCTATCCAAATACTACACTGCATACCACCAGTTACCCCAGGATACTCAGCTTACCTTTAATTTATAGGCATCTGTCAGAACAGGATATTCTTCTTTGTTCTATAAGAATGGAGCTTAACATTCTGCTCTCTGCTTACAGATGAAGAGATGATGGCCACTGAAGTAGCCCCCTCAGCCATGGCAGAGCTTACAGACCTGGGCAAATGTCTAATGAAACACGAGGTAGGTAAAGGGGGCAGAAGATGTTTTTATCCTTGCCCAGGTAGGGAGCCATTTTCCACTATTCTCACCCTGTGGTGCCATCAAAAGTTTTTTGGTAGTGTTTATTGTGGGGTAATGCTCCTATTTATGAGTTAAGTTCCTTGTTCCTAAAACCCCCAAAAAAGTAAGGCCATACTATCTCCCTTGCTGGTAGGCAGACTCTCAGAACAACACGGACATATTGATGCCATCGCCTGGTGTTCTGTCACCAAGGCCTGATCTCTGTCACCCTCTTGCCCAGCCATCCTGCAGTCTTTGTGGACCATGTGCAAAAACAAACCAAAAACCAGGTTTTCTCTTCTCTATTGGTGGGTTTTCTTCTTTTTGACAGCCTGCTAAAGAGAAAATAAACTCTTTCTTGCCTTCAATAGCACTTTTATCATTTACCTGGTCACTTATTAAAATTCTATCTCCTAATATAAAAGAGTATTCAGAGAAAATTATGCTTTTCCTTTTGTAATCCTTGATCCTTTTCTACTAGGATGTTTGTACAGCTCTATTAATTACAGCCTTCAATTCCCTGGCCTGGAAGGATACTCTCTCCTGCCAAAGGACAACAACACAGCTCTGCTGGCCTCTCCTTAAACAAGTATGATTATCCACCCCTTCTCATTGCCTCTTCTGAAAGGTTTGGGTAATGAGTATTGACTGAATCAGTTGGAAAGATTGGGGGACTAGGGCCTTCAGAGTCACCTTTGGGCTCTGAGCACAGCTGTCTCCCCAGGTGCTGTCAGGAACACTGCTTGCAGATGCTGTTACATGGCTTTTCACCAGCGTACTGAAGGGCTTACAGACACACGGGCAGCATGATGGCTGCATGGCTTCCCTGGTCCACCTCGCCTTCCAGATCTACGAGGCACTGGTGAGTGAAGAAAGCATGGGGCAGGGCGGCTGCAGCTTTGTATCTCACAACAAAACAGCCTACTCCCAGTCAATTGGGCCTTATCCTAAACGTAGGCAGCTGCAAGTTGTCAGTGCAGGCCCAAACCTACACCATTGTTTTATCCTCACTTCTCAGCGTCCCAGGTACCTGGAGATAAGAGCTGTGATGGAGCAGATCCCTGAAATACAGAAGGACTCTCTGGACCAGTTTGACTGCAAGCTTTTGAACCCCTCCCTGCAAAAAGCAGCTGACAAACGCCGGAAGGACCAATTCAAACGTCTCATTGCTGGTTGCATCGGGGTAGGTCACTCACCTTCCATAGTGTAGTCCTAACCACCCTGCAGTCTTTGTGGATCATGTGCACAAGCACAAGCAAACCAAAAACCAGCTATAGTCATTGACCATTATGCTAAGATGATCTTTAAGCAAACTACCTCTCAAGGCCCAGCATTAGTTCTTTCTCCTTTGTTTTCCACAGAAACCTTTGGGAGAGCAGTTCCGGAAAGAAGTTCACATTAAGAATCTTCCCTCACTTTTCAAAAAATCAAAGCCAATGCTGGAGACAGAAGTGCTGGACACCGAGGAGGGTGGCCTGGCTGCCATCTTTGAACCCTGAGTCAAGCTCCTGGGCATCTTCCTTGGCCTTTATCATCATCTCTTCTTTCCCTTTGTAGCTAATCTCTAGGCCCCTCTCCACTGCCACCTCACTTTCTACCATTGTTAGCCTGGAGAGAGATCCAGGTCTGGAGCTGGAGAGAGTAGGCCCTGTGTTGGGCCAGAAATAATTATGCTAAAGTATCAAGAAGTGGAGTTAGGGCTTAAAACCATTCTGTCTAGATCTCCCAGGTAGCTCCCATCTTACGTGGAGTTTTGGCTTTTCCAAGAGAGAAAAGCTAGAGCAGGGCAGCCCTTCTCCCCATACCCTCCTGCCCCCACACAGCCATACACCTGTGCAGAACGGTAACTATAGGGGTACAGTACCCAACACTGCAACTGGTCAGGCTTGAAAGAAGGGCTCACCCCTGAACTGCTTGAACCAGATTGCTTCTGGAGCACTGCAGGTCCCTCTGAGCCCCCTTGTTGCTGATCTGGCAGGGAACCTTCCCCACCTCCTAGGGGCATGTCTGGGTTAGGTGCTGACTGTTGGACTGAATTTGGCCAGTCCCCCTCTCCGTTTTGAGCAAAAATTTGGTCACCTGATTGGTAGTATGGGCTACTGCTAAGCTCTGGGCACGGTATCAAGTTTAACTTCAGGGACCAGGGCTGGGCCAGCATCCCTTAACTCCCCCATACAACTCACACATCTTGCCCTTCCACGAATAACCCCCTATTGTGATTTCCCAAACCCCAGACGCCACTCAGGCACAAGAGCCACAGTACCCTATCTAGTGTCATATGACGCCATTAGCACCTAAAGATAACCCAGACCAACTAGGCTACATCTGTGACGAGCAGCTAGCAAAGCCACTGGTCTCTTCTAGGACTAGCTGAGTCCAGGTGCCTTCAGAAATCTCATGATCTTTCGTATCCCTGGTAACTTCTCACTTTGGATCATTTCCAAAAGAAAACAAAATATGCCTTCCCATTAAACCTGTACTGTGAGTTTCCAGTCCATTCTCGAGGCCACTAGAGAGCCCTGTAAGCACAGAGGATATGAATGCAGGACCCCTAGCCTTGAGATCATTGCTGGCATAGTGAGGTTTAGTCCATACAGAAACCACAATGTCTGTCAATGCGTTCTGTGCGGACAGAGGTCTGTCATCAACCCGGTCCGCTAACAAAGGCTTTGGTGAGGACAGGGTGGAGTAGCATGGATGGACAGAAGCTACAGCTTTTATAGCTAGTACAGGACCCCAGGTAGGATAGGGTTAGAAAGAGGTAAAACTGGGGAAATGGAACTTGGGAATCCCCCACAGCTGTTTCTAGGCAAACTTGCCCCACGCCCTCTTTCTGGGTGATACTTTGGGCCTCTTGTCAACTGTAAAGGCCATGTGAAAGCATGTTTACCTCCAAATTTGATCACTGCCTACTCTCCTCTGGTTGGGGCTATGGAGGGCATAGGTGTATTTATTGTGTTGTAATATTTTTAACATCCTGTGACTTCATGCTAGAAGTTTTCTATTGTTTATAGAATCTTTTTGTAGAAACATTAACTCTAAAGCACATCTGCATGTCAGTAAAAATCTCAGTTTCATACAGAAAGGGCCCCATCTGCCTTTTTCAAGCCAATGACATACTCCAGGGTCATTATTCCTCCTGAGCATCCAGCTCAGGGACTGGACAGAAAGAACTGGTACTGATGGACTGCTGTCAAACTTTCGAAACCTGATGTCAGCTAGATAAGACTTCTATTTCTCACATACCTAAGCAAAGCAGCCCCTCCCACACTCTTAGTGCTGTTGCTGCTGGCCGCTGGCTCTGATCCTAAGGATTATCCAAAGGGAATTGCTGTTCTTCCTCATGTGGCTCTTAACAGCAATGTGACTTGACTGCTGTGGGCCGTCCTTTTTTCTATCACTAACTTTTCCTCTGGTATTGCAGGAGATCGGTAAGTCGCACACGATGTTTTTCTGGGCCCTGGCTGTACCCAAGAACACCTCAATTAAACATTTCTTGTGAGGCTTCAGAGGGACTTGGTTCTGACCTGCAGTGACATCTGAGCCCAGTATTCCTAACTGCTGAATGATGCCAAACCTGTATTGAGGTGCGATTGGTATTTTTGGATCCAAACTCAAGCAGTTTCTGACAAAAAAATTTTGCTTTGGATGTGAATTTATTTACATTAAAGCCTTACATACAAAGGCATGAAAGTAATTTTGTAACACATTTAACAAAATGTATTGACTGAAAATAAAGCTGGAATTGTCCAGAAAACTCAGGACGGAACCCTAGTCACACTGGTCCCTCAATAGTAAAGCAATCGTGTGGAGAGGCAAGAACCCAGAATCTTCAGCTTGCCTCAGTTGCATCAGAGCGCAGGATGCCAACAAGTTCCAGTGCAAACCTCAGTCCATCTGAACAGCATCTAGCTCATCCAAGAACCGCCGGCACTTCCCCATCAGCACCTTGATGGCTTCGCTCACCAGCACGTCGGGTGGCAACACCCCGGTTGACTCGACAGAGACTAGGGATCAAAAAGACAACTTTAGCCGAGGCAGGGCTTGCCTTTAAAAGTCCCTGTGTGAATTACTGCTAGGTTCTACAACTGGACTACCCACGGAAGCACCAAAGAACTTTCACCACCCTCCCCACAGGTGATACTCACAGATGTAATGGTCCCGAACCCGAGCAAGCCGTACAGCCTTCTTTAGCTTCTCGTGTCGGAAGACTTCCCTGCTGAAGGTATCTAGCCGGGGATTGACAACTCTGGCCATCTTCTTACCTGATGTAAACAAACCATGTTATAAATACATAAGCCCAGATCTTTTACCTCTCTCTGCTAACTTCAAAGAAATATGCTTTAGGTCTTCACTTGAACAGCATCCAAATGTCATACCTTGAACTTCCTGCACCTCAATAACACCAGGTGAGAAACACCGGCTAAGTTCCTCAGCTGCTTCTCCTTCCACAGGCTCAAGCAGGGTGATATCTGGGAGAAGCCTGTAACTGGCTGTTGCCACAGGTGAAAATTTGGCGTGGTCTTTGCCTGGAGGGAACCAGGACATTGGAGTATATGGGCAAACCCTTCACATTCCCTAAGCCAAGGGCAGCAAAGGCTTTGCCTGTCAGGGACTGCTCAGCCAAGTCTCTGAAGTCAAACCTCACCCCACACAAACAAACCGCCACAACCTGTCCGGGGTGGCCCACAGGGTTCTCACCAATTCCCTTGACACAATGCATAAGTAGGTCAATTTCCTGGCCAGGCCGCAGCTGAGCAATGAGGATATCGTCGTGCACTGGTCGGATAGTGCCCTCTGGGAAGAGGTCAGCCTGGTTCCCCAGGGGGACCCATGTCATGTGCCTGGTGTATACTAGAGGAGAAAGCACATCACAGTTCATTCCCTAAAACTAGCACCCACCAACAGGTAGGCCCTCTGGGTTGACTGCCCACTTCTTACCTTTGTGGTTCACGTAGAGTTCATTGGGGTCAGAGGAATCTTTAGCAGCCTGGGGGTTCCGAGTGCATCTGACTTGCAGCCGAAACTGTAGAGTATCTATCTCTGTGCCTTCTTCATCTCCTGCACAAAAGGAAGAAGGGTGGCTCTGAAGGAACGAGTGAACATTTGAGTCTCTAGCACTATGGTGAGCGCATTTCATTCAATTCTCAATCCGCTTAACAAACTTAGGAAGGCGAGTGCTCTCACAAGAACACTAACATACCAAAGGATTAATAACTTGCCCAAGGTTGTAACAGTAGCCAATCTGGGATCTGAATACAGTGCTTCTAGGAGGAACTTGAGGAAAGCTCCCCCTTTCCCAAAATTTTCTCAAACCTCACCTTGGTTCCGATACTCAAAAAGACGGGGATCAGCATGAATGGGAATAAGCCCCAAGCGATGAGCGAGGATCTCGTCCTGGACAATAGATGTGTTGTTGTACACCAGGACCTTTTCCACAGCCATAGTTGGTACCTGCCCAAGAACACAATCACTCTACAAAGACTCTTTAGACTCCCCATCTACTCCCACCTGACACACGGAGACAGGACGAGACCTGTCCTAGCAGGACACCTGCAAAGAATAAAGGAGGAATGCTAGAAAAAGAGGAATAGCAGCTTGAGAAAATTCTACAAGTGAGGTGATAGCAGAGCTTCCCAATACAACTCTACCCACGCCACCATGCCCCGCCAGTACCTCGGCTAACAGAATGCGCCGAAAAGCATTCGCAATGGCTGCGTCAATTCCCACCATGTCGAACTCCAATGAGTTTTCATCCATGTGTACCACGTCCACACGAAAATTCTGAAGGACAGGAAAAACAAATGAAGCCTGCTTTCTATATAGTAAATACCTCCTCCAACATTCCCCTCAAGTTAGTTAACATTCCCTTGTCCATCCAAAAACTTAAAATCCTCTGCAATATTGCTTTTAGCCAGACCATCTTGAGACTTTTACTGAAAAAACAGGCCTCCCAGTTGACACTACTATTTCTAGAATGCTGTTGCATTTAACATTGTTAACAAAAAAATCCCTCCTCTTTCAAAGTACTACCTTGATTTCTACTGGTTCTCTTTCTCTGATGAATCTTCATTCATCATCTTCCTCCTCCAAAAATTTTACTATTTCCCAGATATTTGTCTGAATGATTTCAACCTTATAGTTTTTGGCAACTATAGCAACCACTCCCGAGATTATCTGTTTTTACTCTAATTTCAAACATATTCAACTAGCTGCTGGACTTCTCCACATGCAGAAAGATGAATGCATCATCATTCCCTTCCCCTGATTCATTTCGCATCAGTAAATGACACCACCATCCATCAAAGCAGTTCTCTAGGCTAGGTCATTTTACCCTCCCCGCCACAGCCCAAACCAAATTTACCTTCTATCTTCCCTTTGCTCTATTTTGATGATCTTAATCGCTGCCCATGCCTTCAACCTCAGTTTCCCTTCGCAGTGTCACATATCTGCCTGCCCCATATGATATGATGGTCCTCAAATTTATTCTCTCCCAACCACGAGAGTTGGGGTCTGATCACTCTACTTAACTGCTCTTCAGAAGCTCCCTAAGGCACATCTCAACTTTGCCCACCGCTCAAGTCGGCCAACTTAATATTCTAGCGATAATGAACTGCTTGGACATTCCCAGAGCAAAGCTCACACAAGCCTTCATAATTAAGCTTCTGTTCTTAGTTGCTCCTCATCCTTTGCTGTTCTCTGCTTCTGGTCATCGTTGCAGACTGAAATCGGACGTTATGTCCTTCAGGAAATCTTCCCTACTTCTTGGCCCCCTTCCCTGTTCTAGACTAAGTGCCTTTGCAGAGCACCCTTGATACCCGTTCCCCCGAACCCCCGTCGTCCTTTGTTGCCATCAACTGACTTTCCCACATTATATTTGAATCATTTATTTACACGTGCTCTTCTCCAACAAGAATGAACATCTTGGTCTTACAACGGAGCTGAAGATGTCTAACACCTCGCTAAAGGAACTTTTTATGGTTGGAACTAACCCAAAGGACAGCGTCTAAAGCATACGCTGCTCAGATCGCACGGTCAGTCCCTCTTAATCTCTCCGGACCCCTCCAGTCACACCTACCTTCTCGAAGCGGTCCTGGTCCCAGGCATCATCATAGCCTGAATAGTTACCGGGAAAGTCGGTGGTATGCACCTAGATCAAAGAGAGACAAGTCCGTCCCCACGCCGATTCCAACACGTCCCTGTTCCCCTCCCACTTCTCCCTCGCTCAAGGACACAGGCTTACATTGCGAACCCCGAATTCCCCCAGAACCACGCGGGTCCGCATTTCTTCCACCTGAGCCGCCGCCATCTTCAACCTCTGCACGTGACTAGGGAGTCAAACCGGCGCGTGCGTTCTAGTTGCCCGCCGCCGTCTCCGTAGCGACGGACCACCTCCAGGAGTCAGATATCGCGAGACTTTCCTCCGCCTCCGTCCACGTCCCCAGCTTCCGGAAATCAATTTGACCAAACATCCGGGTTTCTCCTTTTTGCGTTCCGGCTCATCCCGCATCTCCGTCCGGCCCCTGGACTTCTCACTCCCTCCGGCCGACGTCTCTCCAGCAAGTCGGCGCGCGGAATTAGCGCGGGCTTCAGCGACGGGACCCCTCAAGGGACATGGCAACTACGGCGGCGCCGGGTGGCGGCGCCCGAAACGGGGCCGGCCCGGAATGGGGAGGGTTCGAAGAAAACATCCAGGTAATGGCCCTGAGGCTCCTCTTGCCAGCAGTCCCAGAGCTGGCAGCCGTCCTGAAGTGACGTAAGGATTCTCTCTCGAGGCCTGAAAGGCTGCTCCATTTGCAACACCTTTCCTCTCCTTTGGGTGGTCGTGCACACACAAGTCAGTGGAGCTAGTGCTGGCCTTAAAGGTTCAGACGGGTACTCCAGCCCGACAGCCTCAGAGCCTGGAATCGCCCGCTCTTGGGACAAGAGGTCGGTCGGGCTTGGGCATGGCAAAGGGGCGGGATTCACGGGCACGGATTAAAAAACTGCACAGCTTTGTTTGGGGCTGGGTAAAGGCAGAGGAAACTGGCGATTTAGCAGCCCTTTGAGACTTCCATAGGGAAGGTAAGAGAAAGATATGAATGAAAGACAGTTCGCAAGTTTTCTAAGCTAAAAAAGAGTGAAAGCTAGCAAGAAAGGGGTCTGAGAGCAAACGAGGCAAAGAGAGTCGCATGATATATGGTGATTCTAAGTCCCAACCCTAGCAATGGAAGAACTATACCCCAAATCCTGAAATGAGTAGAGGCAGAGCAGAAAGATCCTGCACTCCAGGAGCCATTGTCTTCACAGGGTGGGGGCTCAGCAGTGATTGACATGGAGAACATGGATGATACCTCAGGCTCTAGCTTCGAAGATATGGGTGAGCTGCATCAGCGTCTGCGGGAGGAAGAAGTAGATGCCGATGCAGCTGCTGCTGAAGAAGAGGATGGAGAGTTCCTGGGAATGAAGGGCTTCAAGGGACAGCTGAGCCGGCAGGTGGCTGATCAGGTAAGCAAGATCAGATCCCTGGCAAGCAGAAAAGTACACCGAGGTCGGCCTCAGGTTCTGGTGTTGGTTAAGTTCACCCCAGATTGTTCAGTTAGAACCACGTAGAAATCCAACAGAAAATACACAGGGCCTAGAACCAAGAGCCTCATAATACCTACCAACCCCCATCTTCCTTACTTCAGATGTGGCAGGCAGGGAAGAGACAAGCTTCCAGGGCCTTCAGCTTATACGCCAACATCGACATCCTGAGACCCTACTTTGATGTGGAGCCTGCCCAGGTGCGCAGCAGGTGAGGATCCTTCTCCTGACAGAAGCTGTCCTCTTAACATCTAGCTTTGTGTCTAAAAATACATCCAGAAAACAAGCCTTTCGACTGTTCTCTACATGACCCTACCAGCCCTCGTCATTGCACACCATACCTCTTACCAGCCAGAACACAGGATCAGGAAGTGGTGATAAAACATTGCCTTCCCTCCATGTAGTCATTTGCTCATCTTTCCTCAAAATCTAGCTGAAGTATCATTTCTTTGCTTCCAACTCCTCAGTCCCAGCCCCACGATGTTGTCTTCTGGCACTCCTGTCAAATGCTATACTTATTCCTGGGTCTGTCTCCTCGAATATCTCCTCGAAAGTAGGCTTTGGTCTATCTTTCTATTCTTAGCACCATAACAGTCCTAGAACATTAATAGTTGTTGAATGATTTTCAAGAACTGGATTTGATCTTGGTTTGATCTTTGTTTATTGTTTTACTTAATCAGGGCTTATTAAATATGTAGTACCATTCAGCAAGTAATAAGCCTTTGCTCTGTGCTGGACACTTTACTGCTTTCTGGCTGGTGTCTGATTCAGTGGTGAAGATCAGTGGAAGCTTAGCCCTCGAGGACAATATAATAGAGCGCTCATTTGCTGTGAAGGGGCACACAGGAGGACGCAGCGTAGGCTGGAGGGTGGCACAGGGCAGGTTTCCTGAGGAAGTAAAATCTTGCCAAAATCCAAGGTATTATTAAGACTTAGCCACCCACGAGAGTGGGGGGTGACTTGTACTTCCCTTTCCTTCTGCCTGGAATTTTCATACCACTTCAAGTACATTTTTCAAGAAAATTCTCAGTGGTGCCTGGAGGAATGGTAAGCAGGAAGAGGCAGGAAGCAAGTAACTTTCCCTCTAAACCCTGCCCAAGGCTCCGCCATCACAGCCCTGAATACTGGGCATTTTCTACTCAGGTTGCCTAACTCCTAAAGGGGAGCAGGTGGAATAGCTAAATCATCAAGGCCCAGATGGACTCCGAGTCTCCATGTTGCCGCTGCATCTGACAGCACGGCATCAGAGGTTTGACCTTCCTGGGGTAGAGACAAGGAAGTGATTCCTCATTCGCTGTCTGTCTTTACTATCCTCTTCTCCCTTTACCATCCAGCATGTTCTCTGGAGTTAGAGGAATAAGATTCAGCCCTTCCAGAACCTCATAGCCTAGTACTGCCTCTGCTCTCATCTCTCCTCTCCTCTCCCAGGCTTCTGGAGTCCATGATCCCTATCAAGATGGTCAACTTCCCCCAGGTGAATTGGCGGTAGCATGTCTGGAGGAGCCCGGGGAGGCACTAGGGCAGAGGGTGGGCCACCAGGCAAAGTCTGGGAAGCATAAACAGAAGAGCCATTGTGCCCTCCAGCCTAAATGACTTGGTATATTGACAGAAAATTGCAGGTGAGCTCTATGGACCTCTCATGCTGGTTTTCACGCTGGTTGCCATCCTCCTCCACGGGATGAAGACATCCGATACCATTATCGTAAGCAGGACAGAGGACTTTGGGGGGTGGCTGAACAGAGTTGAAAGCTGCCCAAGGAGATAATGGTGAAGTGAGGTAGAAGTGGCCCCTGAGGCAGGCCCTGGGGCTGAGACCAGAGGTCCCCCCCAGGACTAAGTAGAGCCTTTACCCCACAGCGCGAGGGCACTCTGATGGGCACAGCCATTGGCACCTGCTTTGGCTACTGGCTGGGCGTCTCATCCTTCATTTACTTCCTCGCCTACCTGTGCAACGCCCAAATCACCATGCTCCAGATGCTGGCACTGCTGGTAAGGAATTGAGCATGATGGTGGGCAAGGGTGATCTTAAAAGAGTAGCCAAGCCTTGGTTTGCCTCTGCTCTGAGGCCCAAGGTCAGAATGGGGAGAGCTGGCTAGTGGACCATTTGTTTCTCAGAGGCCCCATGAGGGTCCAGAGGCCAGCCCAGCCTGAGTGATTTTCCTCTCCACTGTTCTTTATCCTAGGGCTATGGCCTCTTTGGGCACTGCATTGTCCTGTTCATCACCTATAACATCCACCTTCATGCCCTCTTCTACCTCTTCTGGCTGCTGGTGGGTGGGCTCTCCACCCTGCGCATGGTAAGCTGGGTACCAGGTTTCCGGAGTGGGCTGCCCTTCCATAGAGTTGGGAAAACAGCCCAGAGCGCCATCTGACTCCTACACAGGACTCTGAATGGGAGGGAAGAGCCCAGAGATAGTTCTGCTTCAAGTAGGACTGTTTTCTGCATGTGGCTCATTTTGGAGCCAGGCTCTGTCAGCTGTATTCCTGTGGCCTTAGGTGGCAGTGTTGGTGTCACGGACTGTGGGTCCCACACAGCGGCTGCTCCTTTGTGGCACCCTGGCTGCCCTGCACATGCTCTTCCTGCTCTATCTGCATTTTGCCTACCACAAAGTGGTAGAGGGTAAGTGACAGGAGAGGGCCTGGTACGGGGGAGATGGAGAACAGCCGCTTACAGGGCCCGGCCAGCTCTCTCTCACCTTCCATCCTCCTCCTTTCAGGGATCCTGGACACACTGGAGGGTCCCAACATCCCACCCATGCAGAGGGTTCCCAGAGACATCCCAGCTGTGCTCCCTGCTGCTAGGCTTCCCGCTGCCGTGCTCAACGCCACAGCCAAGGCTGTTGTGGTGACCCTGCAGTCACACTGACCCTACCTGGAAACCTTGGCCGGCCCCCTTCCCTCAGCTGCGGCGGTGAAGATTAAAGGACAGTACTGACGACAAGTGTTTCTTTGCTGGGGTCTGCAGCTGCCCCAAAGCTGCAGCCATTTAAGCATCTCCTTGATGCCTGTGAGGGCTTCTGAAGGGCACAAGGCCAGGAACTCCTGGCCAGGACTGCAGGGCTCTGCAGCCAGGATGGAAAATGGGTCAGCTCCTCCGAGGCCCTCTCACCACCTGCCCCTTCCTTCCTCTTTATCTCTCCCACATTGTCTTGCTAAATATAGACTTGTAATTAAAATACTGATTGAAGTCTGGAGCTGCAGCTACCATTTCAGTGGTCCTCCCTGCCACCCTACTTCCTGCACTCTTACCAGTGGTGGTAACATCATATTTTGCCTTTCTTATGCCCTCATCCCAGTAGGATGAAGGCGAGACAGCGTCAGTCTACACTGAAGGCAGCAGCCTAACAGGTAACCTGTCCTTGAGGGCAGGGGTAACGCCTGGCCCCATGGAGCTGCAAAGAGGCCTGAGACACAAGAACCGAAAGTCTGATGGAACAGTGCACTGAGCTTGAGTTGGCTCAGCCTCAGAGCCGATGGAGTGAAGGCGATTAGACAAGAACTTCCAGATTCAATCCCACGTCATTACAAGGCCTTTATGCACCTGGGCCACTGTGTAGGGCTACACAGCTTTCTGCCGGAGCTCACTACTGAAGCTTGACTGCCCTGGTTTTACTGGAGCAAGAGGAACAAAGCTCTCTTCAGAAGTCTTCTTTGCCCTTCCTCTTCAAGAGTGCTGTTTACTCTTAAAAACAACCACCCCAAACACAGCACCATCCACTCCCACCACCCATGACTCTCCATTTGAGTTCACTCAGGTGGTGGTTAGAATAGGGTCTTTGGCCTTTATTTTGTAATATATAAATACAATGTTTTAAAAAATGCCGTTACCTAGTAAATCTAGGTCAGCACTTCTCACTCCTAAATAAAGGGACGAAGGCAGGCTTTCATTTGCCCTATTTCATGGGAGGCCCCCACGGCCTCACCAGTGCACAAAGTTCTAGCAGCACTGCCCTCGTAGGCAGGTGCCGTCCCACGAGCTCCAGGCCACTTTCCGCGGCCCCGATCCTGGCGGGCAGCCCCTTTATTTCGCCTGGCCCAGTCTCAAGTGCTGAGACGCTCAGAGCGGTACCAACAAGATACCTGGGAAAGAGGCTTTACCGCAGCCTGCATCCACCTGCCGCTCGCCTGCCCCGGGACCCTCTGGACTTGCTGCGTGCCTGGCAGCTCGGGTCGCCTCGGCCTCTGCCCGGCACTGGCGCCCGGGGCAGCGGCTGCGAGGCCGCCATCTTGGCGCGGGCACGCGGGGAGGTGCTCGGGCTGGAAAACGCGCGCAAGCTACGCCTTTGGTCACCGGGGTGGGGGCGCCAGGACCCGGCGGGCGTGAATAAAGGGCTCTGGGGGCTTCTGGCCGGGCGGGCGGGCGTGCCCGGGATGCAGGCGAAGGGCCCCGGGCGCTGCCCTCGGGGATGAGGAACGACGGGAATGGGCGAAGGTCTTGCGGAGTGCTCGCCAACGCCATCTCCGCGGGGCGCGCCGCCGTCCCCCCGCGCCCCGGCGGGTCCCCGGCCGCCCTCTCTGCCCCCGGCCCCTCGCCCGGGAGGGAAGGGCCGCGCAGCGCCCCGGCCGCCCGGCGTACGCGAGCCTCGTGGACCCGCGTGGCCCTCGCAGGGCAGGGGCGGGGCGAGTGACGCTGACGCGGCCGTTGCCATGGGAACCCGCCGCCCGCTCCGGAGCGGCGGCCGGAGCCGGAGCTGCCGCCCGCCGGCCCGCCCGCCCCGGGCTCTCCCTGCAGGGAGTAGGGGAAGCCGGGCCGGAGCGAGGGAGGGAGCGGATGCGGCCTCCGGGCGAAGACCGGCCCCCCGCGCCCTGAGCAGAGGCCCCCGAGCAGCCGCCGCGACCTCGAGGGACGAGGACTAGTGCGGAGCGGCGCCTGCCCGGCTGCGGATCGCGCCCCTGCCCGCCGCCCAGACACGGACGGCACGGTCCGCCCGGGCCCCAGCCCCGCGCGGCCCCAGCCCGGCGGGCGACCCCGGCGCCTCGGCAGCCCCGGCGGGCTCCGGCCCGGACCCAGGCGCTCCCCCTCGCCGCGGCCGCCCCCGCCATCCCCGCCCCCGCCGGCGCCGCCCCCGCCCGCGCCCCTGCCCCCGCCCCGGCCCCCGCCCCGGCCGCGACCCCGGCCCCGACCCCAGCCCCGACCCCAGCCCCGACCCCGCCCGCGGCCCCGCCGACCTCGCCCGCGGCCCGGGCCCCGGCCCCGGCCCCGGCGGCCCAGCGGTGGGGACGATGCTGCCCAGCTCCATCCAGATTTCGGGGGAGCCGCTGTCAGGCGCCGAGGTGCGGGACATCTGCCGCGGCCTGCGCGACAACGCCGTGCGCCTGCTCTCGCTGCGCGGCTGCCGCCTCTGCGACCGCGACTTCAGCCGCATCTGCAGGGCCCTGGCGGGGGCCACGTCCCTGGCGCAGCTCAACCTTAACCTGGGCGTCGTGTCCAGCCCCAACCGTATCAAGCAGCTGGCGGAAGCGCTGCGGACCAACCGCTCCATCCAGTCCCTCTTGTGAGTGCGCTCTCTCGCGAGGGGGTCCCGGGCACTGCACCCCACCTCGCCCTGCCCCTGTCGCCGCCTCACCTCCACACACCTTCCTTACCTGTCTTTCCAGCAGCCTGCCTTCTCACCTCACCCCTTACACACACCGCTTGTCCCTCTACCCATGCCTGCACAGCACCCTCCAAGTACCTGCTTCATCTCCAGACTTTGCACACGGCAGCCCCACCCCAAAAGAGATCGGATACCCACCCCTTCCTGGCAGGACACGGATCCCTCCCTTCCTACCACACGCATTGCCTTCTCAGGGGCAGCACCTCAGTTTCCAAGAAGGAAGACTCCTTAAGGTCTAGACCCCTGTCCCTACATTGTGCCCACAAAAGAATTCCAATCCACCATCCACACGCCCCTTCTCTGTGATCTGTCCTGAATCTCGGTACCTACCCCAGAAAAGAAACCTAATTATTCCTTGTCTATCTGCGCTCCCTCAGAATCCATGACTGCAATAACTTCTGCTCCCTACTTTCACCCCCAGCCTGCACGGCAGCCCCCTGACAGATGCCGGGCTGGCCTTGTTGAACCCAGCCCTGGCCCTCCACCCTGCTCTTGTGGCTCTGGACCTGGGGGACTGCATGCTGGGTGATGAAGCCATCAACCTCATCTGTGGCCTCCTCCCCCCAGACGGGGCCAAGTCTGGTGAGCAGGCCCTGTGGGAGCTTGGGCTGTTGTAACTTTGATGAAAAGTTAAGTACAGAGGGCAGAGAGCGTGGGCCAGAGCTGAGGGCTCTCACAGTGTGGGTAAGAATGTTTTAAAATTCCTCTCAGGAGGGAGGATTGGGGGCTGAGCAAGATGGAGACTCAGGAATCCAGGCTGGGATGGGCAGGGAAGTCATGGGTCTAATGGTTCTGAAGCTCTGCAGTGGGGGTGGGGTGACTCCCAGCCACTGTGGACACCCGAGATGTGGGGGTTGGGAGGAAGGCTTAAGGAGAGCCTGATCTCCATCCTGACTTCTCCATTGATGCTGTCCAGGCCTGAAGGAACTAACACTGAGTGCCAATCCTGGCATCACCCCTAAGGGCTGGAGCCGTCTCGCCATTGCAGTGGCCCACAGCTCCCAGGTCCGCGTCCTCAATCTGGACTACAACCCCTTGGGTGAGGCTCAAGAAAGCCCCCTTCAATTCTCACCGCCCCTCCCCATCCAATAACTGCCATAGCAACCCCCACACTGGGGAGGGGAGGAAGGAAGGTGATCTGGAGGTAACTGAGGAACCTCTGTGCAGCGGACCAGATGACCTACAGATAGACCAAAACCATCAGTCACCATCCCTGGTCCTGCCTTGCTTCATCCATTCACTCATCAACCACAGTGCCCCTTCCTGGCCACCTACCACAGTCAGGGATTCCAGGCCTGGGAGTGGTCATTAGAGCAATGGGGAGGCTGCAGGGGAAGAAGTGTTATTTGGCCTATGCGTGAGTGTGTGTGCTGTCTCCCCAGGTGACCACGTGGCAGGGATGCTGGCTGTTGCCGTGGCCTCCAGCCGCACCTTGGAGGTCCTAGACTTGGAGGGCACTGGGCTCACCAACCAATCAGCCCAGGTGAGACATTATCATGTTTGGGGAAGGCCAGGAGTTGGGTGAAGGCCATGCACATATTGAGGATTGGCAGGTTGGAGTGTGAAGAGCCACCTTAACTGTGTTCATCCTTTCCTATACTCTTCATCACATCAGACCCTGCTGGACATGGTAGAAAATTACCCCACAGCTTTGCGGAGCCTGGTGTTGGCTGAGAACAGCATTAGCCCAGAGCTACAGCAGCAGATCTGTGACCTCCTCTCCGAGGGAGAAGAGGAGGAAGAGGTGGCAGGTGGGGCTGGAGACACCCAGGAACGACAGAGAGGGCGGGAGCCTGCTGCCCACCAGAGGGGCAGCAGCTCCTGGATGTGTCCCAGCGGTAAGAGCCCCCAGGGATGATCAGAGGCAGGTCTGGAGGAGGTTTGGAATAAGGGAGTGTGTGTATGGGAAACCTAAAACATCTCTCAAGCTAGTTGTGACCCCCAATGGAGGAGTGAATGGTGGTCTGAACACCCTCTGCCCTTCCACAGATCCCAGCTCTCAGATGGTGCTAATGACGTCAGGACTAGGGGACAGTCTGTTGGCTGAGACCGAGATGTGACTCTCCACTTGGGCCTCTGCGCATCATATTTATCTTGCCCCAGACACCAGGGTTAGGCCCTGGCAATTGGGGATGGGGATTGGGGGTGGGTGCCTGGGGCTCTGGCAGCTCCTGGCATTGTGGTGGCTCTGGAAGCTGTGACTGTCTTGGGGGCACTTAAAGCCAAGGCAATGCCTCTGGACTTGTTGGCAGCTCTGGCTGCAGCCCGCTGGTTGGGAAGAGATTTTATCAACTATACAATGCGGTGTGTGGCTGTGATCACTGGCGGGGGCTGGCAGAAGGGGAGGAATCGGAACTACCAGTAGGCACCACTAGAGGGCAGTGTCACTCCATAATCCAAGCTCGAGGCAGCAACTTTTGGTCCCAAACCTCCAATTTCTAGGACCTGGCTTCTGGGTTAACACCTGCCCTACAAGGATCATAACTAGGGTAAAGAACTCACCCCCCGAGCTAGGCTGGACCCCACCTCAATGAGAGACTCAGGGGTCCCGTCATGTTCATCTGACACCCTCTCTACGGCCTGCTGCCGTGCCCAGGGAAGCACAGTTGGTGTGGGCAAGGGAGTCGCCAGCAAAGACGGGGACACAAGTATTGAAATACTCGAGTATTCGAAATACTCAAGAACAGGGCGAAGAATGGTGGGAAAAAGCACTAATAGACGAAGTAGGTCATACCAGTAAAATAGTTTAATTTTGAAATAATCATCCATGTGAAAATTTCCCAAAGCTGGGAGTAACAGTCTAGAGCCAAGGTTAGAAGGGGGGCTAGGCCTCGCCTAGAGCCCCACCTTGAGGCCCCTGAAGTCCACCCTCCTCTCCCTTCCAGAGGGAGGGAGGGAACAGCTCAAGCCTGAGTCCGTCCTCTCCCTCACGGCCCCCAGGAATGCTGTGCCAGGCCCCCTGAAGGCAACAGTTCATGCTGAGATTTTGGGGGAAAGGAAAAAGTGGAAAATAGAAATTGGAAGTTAATAATCTCAACAAAGACAAAAAAAAAACCCATAAACTTGTGGATACAAAAGGATGGAGGATGAACACTGATGTAATCAACCCTTCAGCTCCCAGAACAGCCCAATTTGGGCTGGGCTGACTGGAAGATCTTGAACCCCAACTGCATGTGACCTTTGGAGAATAAATACTCCAACAAGAAAAGGAAAAACCATGAGGCAAGCTGGTGCCAGTCAGTCAATGCAGACAAATGGCCTGATGTGGCCACGGCCTGACCTACCCACAGAGGAAGAGCCGTCAGTGCGTCTGGAGAGAGGCGAGTTCAAGAGCTTGGGTTGGGTGGGAGACCCTGAGCTGCAAGAGTATGGCCACCTTGGGGTCCCAGTGCAGCAGTGGCAGGAAGGCAATAAGGGGGCCCTAGCTGAGCAAGTTGCCCTGCTCCTGCGCCTGGGTCAAGCTGTCTTTGCGGTGTAGGTGGTGAACCCCCATCCTTTTGGGGCTGCGCTGAGGGCGGCTGGAGCTAGGGAGGGGCCAGGCCCTGCCTTCAGTGTGGGAGGTGCCAGGTCCCTCCTCTGTGCCACTATCACTGGGCAGCAGGCTCTGGCACTCTTCCTCAAGACTGGCAGGCAGATTCAGCTCCTCGTCTCCCTCTTCCCTGAGAAAGACAGGGCCAGGTTCTGCTGCTGGCCAAAGCTCGCGCTCAGCAGGCGGAGAAGGGGCCTGAAGCTCCTCAACTCTGTCACCAGGGTGCAGGGCAAAATGGCGCTGCAGCTCAGGGAGTGCGTCACGTCCAAAGGCTGTACGCAGGGTCACAGCAGCCGGTGGTGGAGTACGGTCCACAAATGCCCTTTGCCAGCTAGCCAGCAGGTCCTCCTCAGAGCTGGCAGAGCTGGCTGGGGCACTCAGTATTGAGGGGGCAGGGCTAGGGTGGTGGTGGGGTGAGGCCTGGGCTGAGGCAGGGCTGCTGGGCACAGGGCTAGGGCGGCCTCGCTCACTCCCTTCTTCCACCAGGCTCAGGGAAATAGCCTGGCGGGTAGCGTAAGTGCAGTTGGGCAGGGGGCTGTGGCGGGGGATTCGCACCTTATCCTCGGAGAACTCTATTACCTTTCGGCCAGGGTACAGTGGGTGTGGCGGAGATGGGGTGGGGTAAGGGCTGAGTTTCTCAAAGGCTGGCAGGGGCAGCTCCTCTTCGGGGGAGCCCCCAGTAGTGCACTCCCCATTGGGTTGAGGGGTGGGGCTGCCAGCGGCTGGGGGACTGGCTGGGTCACCCAAGGCACCTCCACTCATGTCCACATGCACAAACACATCTTCAGCCAAAGGGTGCCCGGCACTGCCTGACTGGGCAGAATTGAGCAGGAGAGACTCTGGCTTCTCCAATACCCGGGCAATGACCGAGGTGGGCACCACGGCCCCCGGGGCCATGCCAGGAGCAGGGCCTGGGCTGGCAGCCTCTTGACCACTATGCAGGTGCTTCCGAACCATGTCCTGCAGCTCACAGGGCAGCTAGGGTAAAGGAGGGGGAGGAGGGAAGAGAGATATGAACATGCCCAGCCCAAGATAGCTTGACTCATGGCACAAGTAGTGGTTACTACGTTCAAGTCCCACTGTGTGCTTGGCCTGTTTTCACACCATGGCAATGTATTATCTCATCTCACAAGTAAACTAAAGCTCAGCAGGGGTAAAATAACTCAAAGCTTCTGATTAGGGCCTCCCAGGTGGTGCAGCGGGTTGAGCGCCGCACTGTGAAGCTGTCCACAGCCTCTGCAGCGCGGGTTCGATTCCAGGCGGGCCAGGGAGAAACCCACATGGAGCAGCAGACCTCTCCTGCCTCGCCCACTGCTCCCCTCAGCAGTGTCTTTGGTCGTCTGCCTGTTCTGATCCCCACTCTGTCTCTGCTGGATTCTCTCACCCTCCCGTGCCTATGACCTAAACCCCAGTTCTTGTATAAATTAAAAAAAAAGAAAATTATCTTCAAAAAAAAGAAAATTATCTTCTAAAAAAAAAAAGCTTCTGATTAACATAGCCAGGATTTTTGATTAACATCACCAGAACTGGTGCTATGGCCCACATGTCTCAAACTTCCATCTCCCCAATCTCAGCCATGGTTTCTGCCCAAACCAAACCTAAGTTTGAGAATCCGTACTGACCAGCAGACTTGGAAATAGCTCCACTCCTTCTGTACGTTCTCTCGGCTGGGAGCCTAAAGCCCTATGGTCTAGAGTTTGCCCCTTGGGGTAGGGAGTCAAATGGGCCACTCCCCCTCTCCCCCCCCCCAATATTCTTACAACCAAGAGCTCTGGCCACCCGCTCATTCCAGCATGGGGTCCTGAGAGTCCCTGTCTTCCTGTCTGTTCAGAAGTATCAATAGGTCCAGCTCCCATCCCTAGTGATGTACCCTTAACAGCACACAGGACACCAACCAGTGGCAGAGTGGACTAGCTGCTGGAGAGGAGACATGGAGACGAGGGGAAGGCAAAGCAGAAAGGCAGGAGAAAGGTACAGACACTTAAGTTAGAGGAGTCCTGAGGGCTGGCGCAGCACCGGCAGGGAGGGTGTAGTACTCACATCAGCGAACTTGTGGTTACGGAAGTGGGACTTGTTGCACTTGAGCAGTTGCACCGCCAGGTTGCAGTCGAGCCGGTAGCGCTCCTGTAGACACAGACCCAGTTCAGAGCCCTGCCTTGAGCCAGGGAGCAGGTTGGGTCAGGGTACATCCAGCTACAGGCGAGGAAAGCCCCAGAAGTGCACATACATTGAGCTCCTCCAGCCTGTTGATGGTGTTCTTGGCATCCAGCAGCTTGTTGGTCAGCTCCACGATCTCCCAGTCTAGTGTCTTCCTATCCATCTCTGCCTTCTTGATCTGAGGCACAAGACTGGTGGTGAACCCAGCCCACAGCCCAGGGGCCCACCCTCCCTCCCTCTCCGCCTCCTCCCAGCCCAGAGACACAGGAAGCCACAGGTACTAGGGCAGCCAAGGCGGATGGAGTAGAGACAGACGCTGGACAGACAGAAGGAGACTGGACACCTCTCCTGCCCTCTGGCTGGCTGTGGGGTGGGGGCTTCCTGAGCATGATTCCTACTGCCTAGGCCCAGGACAGAGGCAGGGATGTTGAGGGGCAAGGCCAGTGGTACCTAAGAGACAATAACTTCACAAACCCAGGGGCTAAAGCCAATGCCTGTAACTATTACCAAAATCAGGCTACGAGGGGAAGGAGTGGGGGCTGGATGGCAGCTGGGGTATCTGTGAGATTATCTAGTTGAACGGGGGGGGGGGGGGAGCCGTAGGTTCAAAGCAGCCTTCTGGTCATCAACTCACAAAGTGAGTTGGTGGCCTGGGCTTGCTGCCCTGCAGCTGAGAAGCCAAGTGTTCAATGGTGACATCAATCAGTACCTCTGCTCCGGCCAAGAGCAGGGTCCCCAGCTGCCCCCCAGGAGGGAGGCAATGACCACTGAATGGGCCTCACAGAAGGAAGAGGAAAGGAGTGGGCAGAGGGAAACAGTCAGGACCCCAGCAATTCCAGATCTCAGCTGAGGAGGAAACCAGGGCAAAGGAGAAAACACACAAACTCAGACGCAACTGCAAAAATCCAGCTGTGGCTAAGAGAGGCCTGAGAGGAGAGTGCAGCAGCAACGGTGGCAGCATGAGGGGAGACGAGGAGAGAAGAGAAACAGTGTAAGCATTAAGACAGTCCTGACTTGCACAGCACACTGCGGTCCCCTCCCCACCATCGCCCCATCCCGCCTCCCCAAGCCCCAGGGCAGAATGGCATTCCCCTGCAAGTCCCAGCCCCCGCTCTGCTGTGAGCACAGTGCCAGCCAAGCTGCCCTATTGGACAGATTACCAGCGTGTGCAGCTTGTCCTCCAGCTCCTGATTGGTCCGCTGGGAAGCCGTGTAGCTGTTCTGCAGCCTAAAGAGGTGCATACAAGGCAGACCCCTGAGTCTAGATCCTGTTCTTTAGGTCCCGCTTAGCCCTTACTTGATATGGGATCTTGGCAAAGTCATCCCCTCCCAGAACTTCAGTTTGCTCATTAGAATCAGATGATCTCTGAGGCCTCTTCCAGCTCACCCAGTGAATGAGGAATGCATGCATGTGTGTCCCGGCACTTGTTTCCACACCTGCGGAATTTGTCTTTGAACTTGTCCAGCTCCTCACGGCTCTGGCCCAGTTCTACCTCCAGACAGTCCTGACCAATTTCTAGTTCACGCTCCAGGGCCTCAGTGCGCCTGGTGGCTGAAGCCAGGCGCCGGCGCAGTTCCTCATTCTCCTGCTGCAAGAGCCTGGCAGGGTGAGGGGTCAAGGGTAAGGGGGCATTAGAGAAAGAAGGAGTAGTCCTGGAGTCTCAGACTAGGCTCAGGAGGAAAGGTGAGTGAAGAGTGACCCAGGTATGAAGACAGGCAACTGGGGGGCAGGAGACTCCTGGAGACCTAGCCTAAGCCCGGGGCAGCCTCCTGACCCTGAGAACACACTCCTGTGGAGGAGGAGGGGAAGAAGGGATGGTAGAGGACTGTCTACCACCCCCCTCATTAGTGAAGAACGAGAACACAGAATTGAGGGGGTGGGAGTTTCAGTTCACAGTCTGTCTCTGGTTACAACCCAAGCCAGCCAGCCACCAAACCCCCCAGATCCAGTTTCCCCACTGCACAATCAGGCTGCTCCATTATTAATCTCTTGGAAATCCAGTCCAGCACTGCCCCCCTCTCCAGAGACTTCATATGGCTGGCAGAAAGGGCTGCAGGGAGGCAGCTGGCAAGGGAGGGCACAGAGATAGGGAAGAGCTCTTTGGCAAGGGGAGGCCCCCCCAGGGCCATCCATCTTGATTCTAAATTCTTTTGGAGTCCATAAAACTATTCCCAAAAGAAATATCCATAGCATTAAGCCTCCCCCCATTCCTTAAAACAGTCCCCCAACCTTTACCTCCACCCAATCCAAGGAAAAGCCCAACTGTACTGACAGCCTGACTGTCCCTAAGAGGGACAGAGCTGAGTCAGGCCTGGCAGGGTGATTGCTCGGGTAGCAGCTACTCACCTCATCCTCTCCGCGTCAGTCAGGGGCTCCTGGGCACAAAAGAACAGAAGCTTGAGGCTCAGCTCTGGATCACTGGCCTCCTGCTTGGCCCACCCTCCAAAGAGCCCTGGCAAGGGCCATGTCTAACCCAAAGACGCACAGCAGAAGTGGGCTGCAGGCCCTGGAAAGATGGAGGCAGCCCAGTAATCCCAGAGAAACCTAGATCACTCTCCCTAGGTCACAGGATGATCCAAGACCCCTTTCCAGTCCACACCCTTCTTCACACCAGCTCCTAATACCTCTCTTAATTCTTGGGCCAGCTGCAGATGTGGCCTGGTACCTATGCTACCTCTCCCAGGGATAAAGAGAGCCTCTCTGCTGCTCACTCAGCTCCTATGGGCTCTGCAGGGCAT